TGATTAATGTATTTTCACTGATTAAATGAACATAACAACATATTCTCTTTGAAAACTAAATTGGGGCTGCAGGTAACTCTGTGCCACACTTGTCTAGGATGCTTATGGCCCTAGGTTTTTCTTTTTTTTTTTTTTGGCCCTAGGTTTGATGTCAAACACCACAAAACAAAACATAGCACAGAAAACAAGAACCACATACTGTACCACTAAGCTCCACCCCAGCCTAAATTCTTGCTTTGCTTTACAGAAAGACAAACTGGAATCACATTTGTAAAATAAGGATGTATCCTATATAAACAGACAAAGGGCTACTAAGAAACCTCAAAAGGCTGATGCAGTGGTGCAAGATGGGAGGCCAGTACTCTATGAGGATTAGGTAGGAGAACTGCAAATGAACTCCTGGGCTCGAGTGTTGCTCCTACTTCAGCCTCCAGAGTAGCAAGGATTATAAGAGCATGCCACCACACCCAGCCTTCTAAGGTGCTTTGAAGACCATCCATTATTTATGAACAATGAATGAGTTTGTAAGATTTTCAGAAACTGAAGTGTAAAAGAAATCATTCATGCCACCACATTCAAGTTAAACCTTCTCATTCTTTCCCATCCCTTCTCCTTAGTCTCTAGCACACAGGTGTCATTGGCACATTGCTAGACCCATTGCTCAGAGAGCATTTTATATCATGACCTAACTATAAGACCCTGATGCCTGCTACAGTGTATGCAATGTTGAACATTTACTTAACATTCTAGCAGGCTAAAATACCTCATTCATTTCAAATGATCGCTCATTTTAGTTTGATTCCATCAAATGAGAAGGTATATGTTGCATTACTCTAAGGCAAGGTAAAAACATGGCCATGCCTTCTTTTGATTTAGAAATGCAGACTTGAGCTGAGGGCTTGGGCTTTCTGGTTCAGGTTCCTACAGATCTCAGCCTCCATTCCTCCCTAATCACCATGCCCTCTTCCTGCCGGCATCACTCACGTTGAGTGCGTGGATGGGCTTGGTGACGTTGAACTTGTCCATGGTAGACAGGATGATAGAGGGTGTGGTTAGGAAGAAGAGCACCACGAAGAGGGTGAAGTTGATGCTGAGCCACTGCACCCACCAGCGGAGGCCCCGGACGGAGAGATTCTTCCTGCAAGAGGGACACGGTCCAGATGCTTCTGTCCTCAACACAGGCCACACCAGCTGTGCTGTAGCTGAAGTGGTCATGTCTGATTCAGGCAAACCAGAAGACTTGCCCAAGGCTCTGCTTGGGATTCATTCAGGCCTCAGGAGGAAAGCTATGGCCTGTGCATTGACTTCAGCCACTACAAGGCTGAAGTCCTGGTCAGCAGCCACTACAAGCCCTATGTGCAAGTCACAGCCAGAGCCCAGCACACAGCCTCCTACAGAGATGCCATGAGCACCAAACTGAGCAGACAGCTCCTGTGTGGCATTTCCTGGACATCTGCAGTGCCACGTGACTCACGCTGCCTTCCTCCCAGTGGGCCATGGGCTAGATTCAATGGGGAGCAGGCAGTGACAGTGGGGCTTCAGCATAGCTAGACTCAGCCTAGGCCCCACACTGCCATTAGGAATAGATCCAGTTCCTAATATGTCAGTGCTATGCTTGGGACACCCCGTGAAGCAGTAAATGAAGCAGTCGGGGCTGAGCTCTTCAGTGGAGAAGAACAGGAAACTCATGTGTGCAGGCAGCCGAGGCAGCCCGGGAAGACAGCTGTGCCCTGACCTCACCCATGCCCTGGACACAGTTCAGAAGACTGGCAGGTATTAGTCTGCGCTAAGGCCATGCTGTCCAACGAGGCAGGCACAAGACCAGGTGGCCACTGAGCATGGGAGATGTGGCTGGTGCACCTGGAGGTGGCGGAAGACTTTGCAGACTAAGTGGGAAAAGGAGAATGTGCTTGGTGCTGAGCACCTGTGTGGCTAGTCCCATCTCCATACCACCGAGAAAACAAAAAGTCCATGCTGAAAAGCTGAAATTAGGGTATTACTAAAATTCCTTTCACTTGTTTCCTTTTCTTTGCTAACAGGGCTACAAGGCCATCTCAGTGGTGTATCTCCCCACCTCCTGCCTCCCTGTTTATGTTGGACAGCAGTGCCTAGAGAAATAACACACAGAGAACCTCTGCGCACCCCCTAGGCTGGCCCGGGGGACCCCAGGAGCTCTGTGGAGATTTCCACTGAATGTCATTCAGGTCACACCTGGTCTCCAGGAGGCCCCTCCAGGAACCAGGCCACCTTCCACCCTGCCCAGACAGACCCTCACCAGCAGATGTCCTGAGGGTAGGCAGCCAAGGTGACATTCCACGTGGAGACATGGAGCTCTTTGCTGTAGGGTGACGGCTGGGGTTCGCCTTTGCACTGAAGGCTCTGACACTTACAGGCTCTGAAGTCCTTCAGGATGCTGCCAGGAAACACAGAGAGAAGTCAGAACCCAGCCTCACTGCAGCACTGTGCATAGGAATGGCACAGGCAAGGAAAATGGAGCCTTGGCTTTGCTGCTGCTCCTCTGACAAAGCTGATCATGTGGAGCAGAGTGCATGCTGGCTCATTATGGCCGGACTGTGGTTCATCTTCCCATCCTCAAGGGCATTTCATCGGCCTGCAGACTCAGCAACCGGCTGTGCTGCATGTCTGTCTGCCTCCCACTCCCAATCATTTGCATGTGGCACACAGCTCCTTGAGTCCACCCCATGACACTGCTGTGACTATCTTTCTTCCTCCAGCCAAGACCTAGCCTTCATCCCACATAACCTCAAGCCCTGGAGCACTGTGAGACCTCAGAGTGAGGCCCTATGGCACTAATGTGTGCTAACACATGGTCTTAGAGCACCTGTGGCTGTCCACAATGAAACCTTGGAGCACCTGTGAGCCCCCACCATGAGGCCCTGGAGCACTAGTGGCTGCCCCCAGTGAAGACCTGAGTCACCTATGGGACCCCACGGTGAGGCCCTGGCACATGTGTTGGTCCCCACAGTGAAGCCCAGGAACACCCATGTCCACCCAGAATGAAACCTGGGAGCACCTATGGGCTCCCAGTGTTGCCCTGGAATACCCACAGGCCCTACACTGAGGCTCAGGGACACCCATGGGTCCACACAGTGTGGCCTAGGAGGCCCAAGAGCACCTGTTGTCCCATCACAGTGATGCTCTCAGAGCACTCATGGCCTCCCTCATTGAGCCCTATCCCTTAGTCACCCGGATGCTGAGCTCCCTGTGGAGGGAGGGCAGGACTATCTCCACACACAGACACAGCCCATCATCCACATGGTGAGAGTCGGGTGAGGGAGGCTGGGCAGGCTGCACTCACTACGTGGCCATAGACTTTTCTCGGAAGGTGACGAAGGCCATTCCCAGGGGTTGGTCCTGGACCTGGTACTCCTCCTCCATGATCCTCTCCAGCAGCTGGTTGTACAGGCGCATGTAGTAGGTGATGGCATCCTCCTGTCAGGGGACAAAGCAGGTGGGTGATGTGGCCTCATGGGTCAGGGAACCTGCACCAGGCCTTGCTGTTTACCCGCTCACAACCCCACACTTCACAGCAGCAGAACTGGCCACAGGGCTTGGAGTTGACAAGGGCCAGCTGGCCCGTCCTCTCCTGCAGGTTTGTGTAGTAGGCCAGACTCTTCTCAGCCTTCTTTCTGTGGAGGTAGGAGAGGGTACAGATGAGCATGCTGCAGATTATCATTTATGGATGCCCACACCCCTTCAGTTATCAGCCTGCAGCAGAGCACAGGCTCTGCTCTAATGCCCTTCGTTCTCATGGTGGAGTCCAGCCCAGCCAGGAAGGAGGGAACCTCAGGGTGGGCCCTGTCTCTTACCTCTCCTCACACAGGTAGATCAGTTTGGCCACATCATAGCACAGCTGGACATCAACCACCTCACATGTCGGGTACGCATCCCTGTTGCAGGGGCCACATTGTAGCTGTGAGCTGAGGCAGCCCGGGAGGAAAACCCCACTCGTCTCCATGGGAGGATGTGGGCACTGCACTGCTGGGTTTGCGCTGGCAGTGGCCTCTTTTCTCTTTTACTCACTTCCCAGGAGAGGGAATTTTGAAGTTTATAAAATACAGTGACTTCTCTGGGTTTTTTCAGGGCTAGAAAGATGGATACCAGGGCCTTGCTCACGCTAAGCAAGCTGTGTACCCCTCGGTAAATTTCCAGCCCAAAGAGGTACATTTTAATAGACTGAAGGGAACTGCCTGGAAGTGACAAGCATATGCCCGGTCGGCTTTCCATCAGATGCTCTCCTCAAGGCCAGC